CCCCTAGATTCCGCCGAAGACGTTACCTAGCACGGTAACAAAATGTTCAGAAACAAACCCACAAGCTTAGAGAATGAACCTCCGCCCTCATCCTCCACCCAAGCTACAGATTGTTCGCCACTATGTTTACAAGTCTTCATCCCTGGAGGCTTTCAAGAAGAGACTGGACAGCCATCTGTCAGAAATGGTGCAGGGTTTCCTGCTTGGGCAGGGGGTTGGACTAGATGACCTACAAGGTCCCTTCCATCTAATCTAAACTCTGCCTCTAGGAGGCGAGGCAGGCTTTTGAAAAGCTAAGACCTGAAGACTTGTAAACATAGTGGCGAACAATCTGTAGCTTGGGTGGAGGATGAGGGCGGAGGTTCATTCTCTAAGCTTGTGGGTTTGTTTCTGAACATTTTGTTACCGTGCTAGGTAACGTCTTCGGTGGAATTTAGGGGAATCCCTAAAGCTTGGGAGATCGAACCTCCACCCTCATTCGTAAACATCCTGATTCTGTGGAAACTTTTAAGGGTGTTTTTTTTATTTTTTAACTTCTTCAGACCCAGAGGAAGTAATCGTAAATAGGGACTCATAAACTGCCGGGGGTTCATTCAGATTGAATAGACTCTGCCTAGGCCAAGAGTCTCCAACCTGGACAACTTTTTAAGACCTGTGGGCTTCAACTCCCCGAATTCCTCCAGTGTTGGCTGGAGCAGTGTTTCCCAACCTTGTCAATGCTGGCTGGGGAATTCTGGGAGTTGAAGTCCAGACATCTTCAAGTTGACAAGGTTGGGAAACACTGGGCTGGAGGAATTCGGGGAATGGAAGTCCACAGGTGTTAAAAGTTGCCCAGGCCGGAGATCCGTGCAGTGTAAACTTCATAAATAAATAAATAAGAGAAACCATCCTTTTTTTCTACCTGCCTGTTAAAATAGTCTTAAGCAAGCCCCCCGTCTTCCAATCTGCCTTCAGCACCCTTTCTGCAAAATGGACACAACGCCACAGAACTCCTTTGAAAAAAAAGACGGCTGCAGCAGAGATGACGGATGTGTCATATTGATGCCTTTGTTGTCAAAAGTGCCACGTAAAGTTGCTCTCGTCCTCTCGGTTCTTGCACGGAGCTGCTTCCCTCTCAGAAGAAAAATTAAAACTTGCGTCTCTCCAAGCCTGGATCACAAACCTCACATCCAAGTAGCCTTCAGGCTTCTGGGCGATGGTCTCGGCCTCAGTTAGCACCAATGCCAACTCCAGAATTTTTAGTCCGTCCTAGATTCCAGGAGCTTTAAAGAAAACGAGGAATGAAGAGGTGTGAAAGCTCGGCAACAGATAGAATTATATGGTGTTAAAAAATACTTTATCTCTGCCATTTGGGGGCTCGGCTCCTTTTCTAGGCTACATCCCCGGGACTCCAGACTACAAGGAAAAGGAGGATATGTACGACGAGATAATCGAGCTCAAGAAGGTGAGAACAACAACTTCTATCTCTGGAATGAACAGAACATACTTTTGGGAGAGTTTTAGTTCATACGCTTTTCTCCCCTTTGAAGCCTGGTCTGTTGGGGCCCACCAGCATCCAGTGGAGCTGGCAGCAGATTCGGACAATGAGGAGAGTTGGGGAGGAACCTGGGCCAGTCCTGGGGTCTGGGGAAGGTTTTGATGAGGGCTCTGTGTCGGAGGCAGAAAGGGGGCCAGAGCCGTCTGACACTTATCAGCTGCCTTCGGGGTCAGACAGCAGTGAAGCAGACGAACAGCTGGTGCCTGTTCCCAGTGTGTGTATACACAGAGTTGCCGGGTGAAGGGAACAGCTAAGGAACGGGTTGACTTGGGAGTAAGGCCACAGGTGAATGGCCCCTCCCAAAGGAAATAAAAGAGGAGCGAAAGGGGAGTGGAGTTTGCAGGAGACAATTAGTTCGCTTCATTGGTTCGGGACTCTCTGAGACTCCTTGCCAAGTTTTGCAGATATGGGCCTGGCAGCTCTCCAAGCTAGATAAGGTCTGTGACTATAAATCCTCCCTCGAAAGACTTTGCTGAATGTGAAGGAGCAGAATCCACAGTCAGTTAATAAAAGGTTTTGTCGGGACTAGGAGTTTGATTCAGGCTCTTGGGAAGCCTCGGTCAGAACATGGTCTCTCTGCTTTCTGGAAATGTTTAAAAGCAACAGGGCGGGAGGAGATCAGTTGAGGACTTAAAGGTATCCTAGACAAGATTCCTAGGAAGCAAAAAAAAGAAATGAGATTCTCTGATGCCACCATTTAAGATAAATTTTCTCTTGTTTCTGTTTCCCATTCGCCTTGCTCAAGGATTCTGAAAGATTTCTCTCTTTCCTCCCCTTCCGCGACAGACCATCCAAGCTCAGAAGTGCGAAGCGGATCGGATGAAGACCAAACTTCGGCGGGTGGAAGAAGACAACACCCGGAAGGACAGACAAATGGAGCAGCTTTTGGAGCCTTTCAAGGTAAGCCCAGGGTCCCACCCGGTGGCTCTTTCGTCCACCGAGCAAGGGAAGCCGATTGCTTCGGGCAACTCTGAAGTGTTTTGTGTTTTTCTTTTCCAGTATTCTGAATTTAGCTGGGTACGGACAGAACAGAAGAACGACAGCAGCTTGGTAAATGCACCTTTTCGCCCTCCTCCCCACCCCTCTGTTCTGCCTTTATCGCTTTCCAGAACCAGGAAAGTACAATAAAGAGGCAACATATTCTTCTTCTTTCCCTCTCTCTCTCTCTCTCTCTCTCTCGGAATAGATGATAAATGGTTTGAAGCAGAAGATTCTCAGGCTAGAACAGCAGTGCAAGGAGAAAGACAACACCATTAAGTATGGAGAAGCTGCCGATTATTCCTCCCCCCTCTTCCTTCTTGCAGAAGACCCAAGTTTCAAGGGACCCAAGGGACTCCTGGCCACAGGGCTCTCCTGCGTTTGGCCAGAATGGTATAAGGACTCCCGCCTTGAGCCAGGGGTTGGACTAGAAGACCTCCAAGGTCCCTTCCAACTCTGTTATTCTGCTCATGAAAGCCGAACGCAGGCTGGGGGGCGCAGAATAGGAAAATGGTCCATGTGTTCTCTTGACTTGTTTGTTTTGACTTCTCCCTGTCTCCCATCCGTAAGGATCTGAAAAGTGGGATCTAGTCATAACTTAACATTGATAGCGATCCATCCGCATGCTTAAGAAATCTTTAGGGGGGTTAACCTCTGATTGTTTGGACTGTGCCAATCCTCCTCCTCCTTCTGTGTCTTGTTTCCCACCAAAGTCAACTCCAGGCAGACATGAAGAATACCAACATGGAAGAAATGACTGTTGCTCTGCATACTTCCTACCAAGAGGTAGGAAAAAAGGATTTGAAAGAGAGAAACCTCCTTAAAAGCATTCGGTTAAACGTTGCTTGCTGCAGTTCTGTGGGCTGTGGGGCTCTTCTCCTATGCTCAGGAACTCCTGAGCATAGATAAGATTTAATGATTAAAATGAACTCCCCCAGAAAACGGGGGGGTGCCAATAGCCTTGGCTTCTTTCGGAGCCACCTAACGAGAGCTCGGCTCCTTCCCCATGAGATTGCTAGCTTGGTTAATATTCTTTCCCCTTTTTCAGATCCGGCGCCTCCAGAACCTGCTGACACGCTCAAAAGTTGTGCAACGGAAGTACGTGTATTACTTTGGGGCTTTCTGCCTTTGCTTAACTTTTTCCTGGCTAGTTTCTATTCTTCACTAATTGCTGTGCAGGAAGAGAAATGTAAAGGCTTTTTTTAAAAAAAAGGTCATTGGCTAAGTGTCGTTCTCTTTGTTTAGCTGAGTTAGCAGACTGGTGATTCTTGTAACACTCATAAGAAGCTGTCATTTTCCCTTAAAAAATGGTAAAAGAATCTCTATCTATCTGTCTATCTTATGTATGGATGTATGGATGTATGGATGTCTATGGCCATCCGTCCGTCCGTCTGTCTGTCTGTCTGTCTGTCTATCTTTATGTATGTATGTATGTATGTATGTATGTATGTATGTATGTATGTATGTATGTATGTCTATGTCCATCCATCCATCCATCCATCCATCCATCCATCCATCCATCCATCCATCCATCCATCCATCTATCTTATGTATGTATGTATGTCTGTGTCCATCCATCCATCCATCCATCCATCCATCCATCCATCCATCCATCCATCCATCCATCCATCTAT